CTACACCACTTCAGACAAATGGTTATCCAACATCTTCTTAAAGACTTCCGATCCCTCAGGGACTGCCACAGAGAAGAGGGAGTCAAACTATTCTCCAAAGAACCTGAGGGTAGGACAAGAAGCAATGGGTGGAAACTAATCAAGGAGAGAAGGAACCTGAACTAAGGAGAAATTTCCTGACAGTGAGAACAATTAATCAGTGGAACAGAAGTTGCCTCCAGAAGTTGTGAATGCTCCAACACCGGAAGTCTTTAAGAAGATGTTGGATAACCATTTGTCTGAAGTGGTGCAGTGTTTTATGCCTAAGCAGGGACTAGAAGACCTCTAAGGTCCCTTCCAACTCTTGTTATTCTACTACTTCTAAATTTTAAATCTAGAAGGATGTCAAGTCTTTGAAGTTGTTGTTGTTTGTCTCTTTCTTTCTAGACCCTGCCCAAAATTGATCTGGATAATTATTCCATTGTGCCGATCGACGAAGGAGACGAAGACCGAGAGGCCGCGGAAGATGATGAAGAAGCGAACTCGGCTGGTTCGGATCTCGACCTTGATCTGGGCGAAGATTGTCTGCAAGGAGGTTTGTCCTTTCTGAGCCTTTGTGTTCTGACCCAGCCTTAGCAGAAGCAAGAAACAGACTCTTGGACACGAAAAGAACCCTCTTTATTTACCTTTTGTGAATTAATTGCATTCATCCACCAAAAAGTCCAGGCAATAATCCTTCAAGGAGTTAACTGCAGTAACAGACCTTATCATTTCCTTGGGATAATTGCCAGGCCATGAGTTCCCAGCTGAAAGGCTGCAAATTAAGTTCTGGCAAGCAGTTTTTGTGGCATGAAACACAATGAGTAAAATCTTCAGAAATACGAACTGTTGTCTCCTACGACCACCACTGCCCTTTCCTTCTATTTATTCCCCAGTCAGGGTAGGGCCATTCAGCATCCACGTGTGCTTTGCTTCCCAAGTCGACTCCTTAACCCCTGTTGTTTCCCTCTCCTGACAGCTCTGTGCATACATGCATCTGGAACAGGCCCCAGCTGTTCTTCCTCCCCACTTATCTCAGCCTCCAAAGGCAGCTGCCTCTCCGATAGCTGGGAAATGTTGGACGGCTCTAGCTCTATCTCTGTGCCCGACGCAGAGCATCCATCAGAGCCTTCCCCAGACTCCAAAACTGGCCCAAGTTCCTCCCCAACCTCCTCATCGTCCAAATCTGCCACCTGGTCCACTGACAGCTGGTGGGCCACAACACTTTAAAAGTTGGCTGAGTTTGCACAGAAGACCAGAGAGATTTTAAATCATGATTAGCCGATCAAACCACATGAGGCATAATAAGATGAGGCACTATGTGATGCAGCCTCTTTTTTTCTGTTTTATGGACAGATCTTGCCTTCATATCAACATAGAAAAACAAACCCTGGCTTATTCAACAAACCACGAATGTTAAGTTAGCACCTTATTATATCACCTCCTCAAAGATGTTGATCTGCCTTTAATAACAGGAGATGTTTTTTTAAGGTTGAGTGTCCCTGTTTGTAAAGTAAACACCCTGTTAGATTTATGCTCAATATGACTCTCAAATAAAATCACAAAGAAGCTAGTTCTCATGAAGCTGCCAGAAAAATAGGTGCTGCTTTTTCTTCTTCCATTGCCTCTTAGCTCTTATTTGGAAAAACAAATTGAAACTTATTTATTTACTGGTTATATTTATATTTTTATACTGCCTTATTTCCCGAGGATTCACAGATGTGAGCAATTAAAATAAAAACGTGTAAGGTTAATGATCAAACAGTTAAAAAAATAGTAGTTTTCTTACTGTGTCTGGAAAATACATATTATACTACTAATAACCTAGCAGGCTAATCTTTTCAGCACTTAGATACCTGTATTTTTCAGAGTATGATGCACCTTTCCCCCACAAAAAGGAGGCTGAAAATCTGGGTGCGTCTTATACACCGAATACAGCATTTTTGGCCTCCTNTATTGGATGGGGAATTCTGGGAATTGAAATCCATCCATGTTGCCTGAGGAATTATAGGTGATGAAGTCCATATTGGATGGGGAATTCTGGGAATTAAAGTCCATCTATGTTTCCTGGTAAATTCTGTGATTTGAAGTCCGTCCATGTTGCCTGGGGAATTATAGATGATGAAGTCCATATTGGATGGGGAATTCTGGGAGTTGAAATCCATCTATGTTGCCTGGAGAATTCTGGGAGTTGAAATCCATGTGGGCTGGGGAATTATGGAAGTTAATGTCCATTTACATTTCCTGGGGAATTTTTGGAGTTGAAGTCCATTCGTGTTACCTGGGGAATTATAGATGATGAAGTCCATATTGAATGGGGGATTCTGGGAGTTGAAGTCCATCTATGTTGCTTGGGGAATTCTGGGAGTTGAAGTCCATCCGTGCTAGCTGGGGATTTCTGGAAGTTCTACTAACATTTTATAGTCCTGATTGAGAAAGATGTGGCTTTGCTCTTTGTAGGCTCTGAAGATGAGGACAATTCTGTAGAAGCCATCAGAAGGTTTAAGAAATCCAGACAGAAAAAGAAGCATGCTCTTCAAGTAAGCTAAATTTTCCTGCACTGTCACAAATGCAGGCTGGTTGCCAAGAGCCCAAATTTTGCTCACGTGACCATTTTGTATGCTGCAAAAGTTACAGGCGCAAGTTGTAAGTCACTTTTTTCACTGCTACTGTAACTTTGGCCATTAAATAAATGGTTATAAGTTAAGGACAACCTATATTTTCTCTTTCTTTTAAAAAAATCCCACCAAATATCTTAGTTTTGCACATTCATCTCCTTTAGTACATTCTGTCTACTAAATGATAAGAATCTGATTTATCTTCTTGCTTTAGATGATTGGATATTTTCGTACTTTTCAAATAGATCTTAAGATCATGTGAAACGTTAATACCACTTTATCATGCTTTGGTAAGGCTACACTTGGAATCCTGCATCCAGTTTTAGTCACCACGATGTAAAAAAGATTTTGAGACTCTACAAAGAGTGCAGAGAAGAGCAACAAAGATGTTTAGGGGACTTGAGGATAAAACATAAAAAATAATTGCTGGAACTGGGTAGGTCTAGTTTAATGAAAAGAAGGAGTAGGGGAGACATGATAGCAATGCTCCAATATCTCAGGGGCTGCCCCATG